AAAAAGAAAAATGTTCTTATAGCTTTTCCTGAGAGTCCAATCTTTGCTTCAAGATACTTGATTTACCTCTTTGGTCTTGCCTGCAGAAGTGAGATGACAAAGGGAAGGCTGTCCTTCAGGAAAGCATCACAGTGAGATGCACGTCTTGTGCCACCGCTGTGGCTCCAAGGTCTACCCTTTACAGAAGTCGACCTGGGACAAATGTGGTTACCCTGACCAGTGCAAGAGTGTGGGACAGTGGTGTCTGCTTGCTCTGGATGGCTGATAACCCTGAGAGAGACTAGCCCCTGACCTACTTCTATTGACCTCCAAGTGCATAGTCATCTGCCACGTGTAGCAAGCAGCAATTGTGCATTACTGAACCCGTGGGTAGTAGCAGTGGGTGGGGCTGCCCCCTCCCCCTAACTTGATACTACATTTTCCCATCCAATTTCTAATTCCATGTGGGGTGCTGTTGTTTCCCTACAACAGCATTGCAAAAGAGCCCTTGATTTAATATAAGGTGGTCAGACTTCTCAAACACTCTTTCAATAAGAAGCTCCAGCTTTTTAGAATCAACAAACTGCTGTGAGGGCTTCTGAGCCTGCTCTTGGTCAGTCAAACTGACTGCAGCGAAAACAGAAGCTGGGCTTTTGCAAGTTTGGCTAGGTCTGGTCTCCTGCTGTGAGATTGGGGCATACCTGGGATTGCTGCCATTCAAAGATTCTTTTGCTGGGTTAGGCAGAGGCTTTGCCTTCTGAGCTCTGTTGGCCAGGCCTTGAATCAAGCTCCTTTTCAGACTTGACTTTCTTTAGTGGTTGACATTCATGCTCCCCTTCCCCTGCCTCTGGTTCAGCTCACCATGGGTTGAGTGTTGCCCCAGGCTCAATAGCTATCCTCCCAAGCTGATCCTGAAAAATCCCAGGAAGATGGAAATCGGGTTTGGGATCCAGGCCCACTTATCACCTGGAGAAAGGGCTATACATTCATGTTTTTGCAGACTAAAGCTGATGGACTCCCCATACAAGGATGCAACCACGTTTGGAGAAAGATGAAGGACGCGGAGGAGATGAGGAGACCACCCAGTCTTAACCATGACTGTTTCCAGGTTGCTGACACCCCGAAGGGAGGGGCTATTTGTTTAAGCTTTCACAGGCAAAGGAGATAGGTGGGTTTCTCTTCCTTCAGTAAGGCCTAGAAGAAAGGAGAGAAGCTGGTTCTGTGACCTGACCCTGCCCTGTTACTGAAGTTATCCCAAGTGTCAAAAAGACCTCACAGATTCCTGAGCATGGCGATCGCTGACTGCTGAGATATTGCTGATGCTGTCTAAGAGCCAACTTGGGAGAAATCTTTCTGTTTCCCACCATAGAGAAAGCATAAGTGGAGTGGCAAGGCGAAAAGACTAAATGCCATCGATATTGTCCAATCAGACACCTAAACATTGCATACACATGGATTCTGCGAGAAAACAACATCAAACCCAAAGAGCAGCTGTTGAAGCAGCCAGTGCATCTGAATGACTTCAACATTTCGTTGTGCAGTAAATATTCTCCTATCGAAAATGTAAACATATTATTTAATAAAGTAGCAAAAGGAAAAATCAAAAGTCAGCCTATGGTAATGGCAAGTGCCCGGATTCTCTCCATGGACTTAGGTTTCTGATTTTCTCGATTATCTATAAAACTAGATTCCTCTTTTTAGATGGTATCAAGTCGATTCCTCTGCATAGCACCCTGTGCACAGTGCACGAGACACTGCTGATCACGTGCCCCCTCGCCACGTTGTTTGGTTTGAGCCGTTGCTGCAGCCGCTCTGGTCCTTCCACCTTGTGGCGAGTCTTCCTGTCCTTCACTGCCCCTCGGCTTTGCCAAGGATTGCGTTCTTCATACCAGGGACTGGGCTCTCCTGATCACAGGTCCAAAGAAGGTGAGAGGAAGCCTTCCCCTCCTTGACGCTAAAGAGTATCTTCTTCCTCATATAGTCCAACATCTCAGAGTATTTGCTCAGCATACAGATTGAGTTAAGTGTCTTGAGAGAATACAAACTTGAAACACCTTTCCTCATTCTAAGGCAGGTCATACTCCCTGGTTCTCTTCATACGATTGCCTCTTGGTCTAGGTACAGGTTCCACGTGAGCACAGTGAAGGATTCTGGAATTTCCATTCTTCTCAAGGCTAGCCATAGTTTATTATGATTGAGTTGGTCGAATACCTTTGCCTAGTCCGTAAAATAAAAGTAGGTATTTTCGCTGGTGTTCTCGGGTTCTTTTTTAGATGATAATAAAAGCAGGATGTGGAACTCCAGCCCACAACATACAACGCCCCAGTCACCAGCTGTGTTCAGTCCACTTCACCCTCGTGACAACCCCATGTGTGTCAGAAGAGACGAGCACTCCACAGGGCTTTTCAGTGGCTAGGGTTTGAAGGTCAAGAACCCCCATTTCTTCCAGGGCATCTCTTGGTGCACTCTAACCTCCAGATTGTTGGTTAGCACTGCCAAGAAACTCTCCAGTTCTCATTAAAACTCAAACTGATTGCCATGGAGTCCTTTCTGATTTATAGGGACACCCTAGAATAGGACAGAAAATTCTCGCTGTGAGTTTGGGGGGCTGTAAATCTCCATGGGAGAAGGCAGCCTCATCTTACTCCCTTGAAGAAACGGGCTAAGTCAAACTGTAGTTCGTGCCCAATGTGGAACCCAGCATGCCACCAAGCTGCTTCTGCTCACAAAGAAAGTAGACCCATGTGGGACATAGCTTGAGCTCAGACAGGAAGCGCTACGTGCATCAGAACAAGGAGATGATTCTTCA